TGTCTGTCACATGCCAGGGCTGCATGAATCAAGAATTTTTTAGGAGCTGTATCATATGGAGTTGTTTGCTTTTCAGATTTGATTCTTCTTGTGTCTTCCTACAGTTTTGTGGCTATTAGAATAAGTAATTGCTAGTAACACAATATTTCTAGTAGCCTGTGCCTGGTGGAATGCTAGGATGTGCCTTGTCTCTGATAATTTGGTAAAGGTGTGTGTCCTACTTTAAGACAAATGGTATGCAAATATATACGCATGAAATAAATTAGGATATGATTAGTACTATTCCAAAAATTGTTAAGTCCAGTTTCTTTTCATATCACATGTTTTACTATCTTACAAGTCTCCAGGAATATCTATATAAACTCAAGAGAAATAGCCCTCCACTTATTCTGAAGTATTCATTAGACATTTGCCCACACCTGGGTAAGCCAGACTCTGATTGCTCCATGCATGCACCTCTTCCAATGTTCAAAAGTGGGCACTTGGTTTGTATTGAATGAGGAATTCTTGGTGATAAAAAGCTCCAGTTTTACAGAGAATCCAGGATTTCATAAGGTCTCTCTTATTTGTGGGCTACTCGGTCAGCTCAATAATCAAGGTTCATGGAATACTTTTCATTTTTTTCTGTTTATCTTTTTTGATCTCAATTCTTCACCCCTCCCACTTTTCTTAAGAATTAAGCCTTCACATGCCTTTCATTATTAGTCATTGCAAAGGCATCTTCAAATAAGTACACGATGGATTTGTTCTGCTAGGGATAGCCGATGCAAACCATCATGTAGAGGTCTCACTCAACATGCAAATAATACCTCGAATTTAGCACCACTCACTCAAATGCCTGGCAATAATTAAAAGGGGTCTGGGTAGGAAATGTGATGAAATTGTGTGGATGAACAAATTTTCTTTGTATTTGCATTATCACAATGACCGCCATACACACTGATCGCACTGACCAATTATGATGTTCAAATATGTTTTGTTGTTTGTTAACATAATAGTGATCACTAAGAAATGAATTAAATTTCAGACAGATGATCTACCCTAATGGTCTTAATGACCAAACTTAGCCTACCTATACCAGTTGTTGAGCAAAAAGCCCGTTACATCAATGAGCTGAAGCTTAGCAGACTGATAATGATCTCCGACGAGTGACTGGACTAAACCTAGAGACACGATCGAAGATAGTGTGTGACGTGCAGACTCACTTTACTGGTTTTTGCTGGCTTTTTTTTAAATGAAGAAAACATCAGCATTCCATTAGAAAGTCTCTAACTACATGTCTGCGGTTGAAAGCCTTTTCTCCCTCTTCTCTTAGGAAGGGTAATACTAGACTCAGCTAAGTAAGCAGTGAAGTAAAAGACCAGGCTGCTTTAATTAGCTTATATTGTAATCTGATTAAAGGAATCATTGAGCCTTCCACAGAAGTCATTAAAAGCATGAGAGAGCCCCGTGGCATCAGGCATTCTACCTTCTGAGCCAGTGACCTGGAGGGCAACCCTGATGGCATTCTAAGGACTCTGTACTTGACCGTGTCCCAGGGAACATTTTTACCAGTGACTTGTACAAAGATATTTCAAATAAGTGTTCCTATAAGGTTGGAAGCAATAGCTAATACCAATGCTAGATGACATCTGCATGGGGAAAAGACCACTGAATTGCCTGCCCTTGGACCTTGAGCTTAGGTTGGGGTCATCACTGACTGCTGGACCTCATTACTTTTATATATAAATACACACATATATACACACATATACATATATACATATATATGTGTATATATATAAAACAGGGGGCCCAGGTGCGTTGAAATTCTCTGGACCTACAGACCTCTAAAGGACGATTCTGATGAAAGCCATTCTTGACTGGTGGGAAAGATAGACTCAAATGAGTGCTCTCAAGCCAGGGAGCGTTCGTATGCATGGAATTTTTGGTAATCACAATGATTAGAGGTGCTACTGGCATTTAGAGGAAGGGAGCTAGGGTGCTAAATATCTTGCAATGCACAGCACAGTACCAGTGAAGGATGAGTCTTCACAAATTGTCATAGTGACCCCACCGAGAAACACTGGATTACATGCAAGAAGACACAATTTTTAACAGAAATAAATATAAAATTCTGCATGATTGGTTGGGCAATCAATTGCGCAGGAACAGGATAGGGGATATGTGGCTTAAACGCAGTTCATATAAAAAAGACCTGAACATTTTAGTTGACCACAAACTCAATATGAGGCAACAGGATGAGGAAACTGCTAAAGGGCTAATGCAACTTGAACTGCATGACAGTGTCCAGATCAAGGGAGCAATAAGCCCCTGGAAATCTGCATTAGTGACACTGGGCACCACAAAGTTATCATGGAGCCCTAGTGAACTGAAGCTATCTAGTACAGGACCAGTAAGGTAAGGGTGTGTTAAAAGGAAGAATGGACTGACAAAAGGAAAATCAAATGGGCACTTTAATGGTTCTCATATAAAGACTGTGTGGCAGAGGTAGAAAGACTGAGAAGTGGAAGGGGCAAGGAAGCAGGCCTTCCTGATCATCAGCACTGGCCAACTGCCCTGCGGAGGACTGACACTGTTACCTTTCAGGCCGGGGCTGAGTGACTTTCTGGCAGATGTGTTAGAAATGGGTGCCAAGTAAGACTAGGTAACCTCAAAAGGTGGCTTCCTTCCACTCTTCCATGATTCCGGTATTTTATGTGATCTAATTCTCAGGCATCTTCTTTACCTTGGCAGTTAGATACAATTGTTTGTTCTTATCTGCTTAGCATGTCATCCTGATTTTAAAAAGAAAATTGTTTTCTTCACTCCTATAATTCAGTGACTCTAATAATCTTGATACCTAATTATATATCATGCAGCTTCAGATGAAGGAGCACATGGCGAACAGCTGCCAAAGAGAATGTGAAGTTTATTATTTGGAGTCCGACCCGCCCATGAAGAGGCCACCTTTGTTTTTTCTAATTATTAGCTATCCGTGGTATAAAATGGACATCATGTCAATATGTAGTTAATAGAAATGGTAACTTTTCTATACAGGGTTTCATTTAAGCAGATATATTAATCTGGTGTCATATCACTGGCTGACCTGGAGGACTTGTTCTAACATTGATTCACTCATGTTCCAGTAATGTCATTTTAAGTAAACCTGAAGGCATTCCCTAGTAATAGAAACCACAATACAACCTATGCGTCTAGGCTTACATAAGTATCTCAGATTGAGACAAATGATCTACACTGATAACCGAATTATACAAAGCCTACTTGAGATGGTCTCTGCTTGACACCTTCGGTCTCACTATTTATTAAGTATGACTCTGTATTAGTGTTAGGTTATTTGTTCTCATTCTATAAAAATGAGTTTACAGATATAAGCCAGAAGTGCCAACCTATTGAAAGACCCAAGGTAGGCACAAATCTTAATAACCCTTCTGGTCTGGTTTGGCTGTTGAATTATTCCTAGAAAAGATACAGAATTTAAAAGCATCGATCATCTCGGATAGATATCACTTTTGTCCTTAACCGTAGGTCAAAGATATACATTGGGTCATTCTTGACAAATCTATTCTCAAGCCAGACGTAGAAAAATCTGTCAAGCAGTAGCCCTGTGGTTTAAGCCCTGAAATGTACATTCAATTCACATAACACACACAATGGGAACTAAAATCTGAGCTGAGGGTTTAATTCCAATGTTGATAAAGAAAGCATCCAAGTAAACAACTCATTTCTTAATCCAGTTGGTCTTCACAATATTGATCAGCGTATGCGAGTTTCAAAAATACTTAGCAGTTCCTCGGTTGAGTTTCTGTTATGTTGAACTCAACTCTGGAGGTAAAACTTGCAAAAAAATAATGAGTTTTTGGAACACCAATTTCTGTTCCTTTTGATTTAGTTTTGTTTTCTATTAGTAGAACAGAAATCAGTTCCTCAAATGCAGATTCCAAATTTAACTCTGATATCTCACACTATCTCCTTTTGGCTTTATCTGAGTTTACCCTTTCCAAGGTTTTCCTTTAGGTAGGCAGAAGAGTGAAGATCTATCATTTCTGACATTCTGGTCAATAAGCAATCCATTATAAATATCCTTTAAAGCTAAGCTCATTACTTCTGAACAGGTGACAAAGCTTTGGTCAACTAAAATGAAGCCCATTACTACAGGATATATGAGATGAGATTGGAGAAGTGCTATAAGAGGGTTTAAGTTGCTTTAAAACCAAGCTTCTTCCTCCTCCTGCTTTCGGCTCACTCAATAGGGAAGGGCTGCATGATGTGGGGTCACTTCAATTTTTATATATTGTCAATAATAAAGATAGCTTCCGGTGGCCTATAAGTCCACATGCTTTAGTTAAATCTTCCCAGTCGTTTAAATTTGTCAGGAAGGTTGCTACATTGTTCTTACATTCTCAGTGAAAATATTATAGAGCCCAGTGAAAACATCATCAGGTAGAAACTGCTAATTATTTTTGCCTTTAGATAAAAATGATATACAAATGTGGCTAAGAATACAGGCAGACACAAAGGCCACCAAGCTTTTGTGCATATAGTGCATGTATAGCATGAGTATGCAAAACACAAGGAAAAGAACTAACAGGCTCATACTGATCCCTATGATTTCTGGGAGACACGTCCTTGGACGCTCCTGAGGCGAGGATGGAACCCCTGGAACATTAGACCCTTAGCTTAGCCTGTTCCTCACAGCCCCATAACCCTGCATTTTGAAAATCACTATCCCCTGCCTCCCCAGGACGTCTAACTTGACCATACCCACTAACATCAAACCCCTGCAAATCTATGCAAGGAATGGTGCCCGTTCCATTGCCAGGGGTTGCTGAGCAGGCTGCACCCAGTCAGACTGAAAGAGGGAGCCCACAGGACCTGCCTGCGGCCTCTGGTGACCATATCCCATCTTCTGGCTCACCGAAGAGAACTGGGCATGGGGCAGACTCAATCTCCATCGAGTCTGCGTTCCATGGCCCTGAAACTCTTGGGTGACATTATACCTTTTCTTCGCTGCTGATGTTTCGGGTGGAAGTTCTCCAGGTGATAGAAGGAATGGGGTCTCCTGAGGCTTCACAAGTGAGTGTGACCTGTTCCTCCAGTTCCATGGCAGTCTGGTTCTCTACATAAGTGATTTTGGGTTTTGCTGAAAAGACAAAACATTCCTATAAGTTTACCTGATTTTTTTTTTTAGCTTTCCAAGTTTAAATGAGAACATGTACCCATACAACAAAAGCTCAATTCTAGGTGTTGTGTGAAATGAAGAGCTGAACCCCCAAGGAGCTTACCGTGAGGCAGGCACGTGACAACATTCAGGTGACAGTAATAAAAACATCCTATAGAGTAAGCGCTAAGGGCAATGAGCACAGGAGGCACGGAGCAGAGGAAGAATATGCTCCGCTGGGTGGAATCTTCATGAGGACACAGCTTTTGGGTTGGATGAAACTTCTGTAGGTGAAACTTTGGGATGGAGGCAGAGTCATGTCAAGTGTAGAAAACTGCTTGAATAAAAGCAGAGAAGCAAGAATGTGTGAAGAGAGGGTTGGGAGGAGAGCAGTGGGCCATGAGTCACGTGTTTGTGTATGAGAGCAGAGGGAGACAAAACTGGACCCAAGTAGAGTGATGATTGTCCCGTTAAAGCTTTTGCTTGAATTTTATCCCGTGGCAGGCAGAGACCCACTGACAGTGTTTGATCAGAGGAACGGAGTGATCATCTGTATTACAAGAGGGTAAATCCAGAAAAAAATTCAAGATGACTCAGCATGGAGAAAGCCTTGAGGTGAGAAAACCAATCTGGAAGTGCAGGCAGTGGGCCAGATGTGATGTGACACAATTCTGAATGGGGTCGTCTCGGGGAAGAGAAAGGATGGCTTCGAGAGAGATGATAAAGAAAGGTTTTCTGGGAAGTAGCAAGGGTTGGCAAGAAACAAAAGAAGGTATGACAAGGAGCCAAATGACTCAGATTCTTAATGACTAGAAAAGCCATGTTAGCATTAACTCAAGTAAGGAAATGCGGCGAGTAACTTGGGGTTGTGGAGTGGGCTGGGGATGGGAAGATGAGTTGAGATGAGTTCATTTTCCAAATGTTTTGGGTAATGCAAGAAAACACAAGCATTCAAGACTGAATTAAATGTTAAAACATTAGAGAAAATTGAATTTTCCCAATTTAAAACAATTATACTCTGAAATTAGTAAACCTTCCATAGGAGAAGATAACACTGCACAAATGTAACTTACTTCACTAATAGAGAAAAAGACCAGGCTTGATAAAGAAACAAACAAATAAACAAACAAATAAATAAAAATTATGGATAACTTTTGAAAAACTGAATTTCCTTTATATTCAAATTCATACAGTAACCCCAAGTAGGCTAATAAACTACTGATTGTATACATGCTCCAAATTGAGGTTCTTTATTTTGCTTTACTGAAAAGAAAACACTGATAGAGCTGTTAATTTTCTGTATAACATATCCCATGTAGTTCAAATATTCTCCTAAAGTTAATCTGTACTAACAACCTACTTAGCAAATCCTTTTTTGCCGGCTAGCACATGGGCACATCTCAATCCAATGTGGCCAAACGAGCACAAATTTGAACGGATGGAGTCCACAGGACTGAGGTTTTCCTTTAGGAAGGCTCTGTGTCTATCTTGATAAATGGGACTTTTAATTTAAGGAAGCTACAGCTCATCTTGGATGGAGTAAATGTTAAGTGCTATTGAACAGAAGGTTTTGGAGAGGTAAATAAAAGCTGTTTAAATCACAGACTGATAAGTTACAAAAAAAAAACAACCAATAACTGAATTCACAAAACTGAACAGTTGTTTTGGAGTTTGGAGGCGGTCATAGGAAGGCTGAATTTCTGGGCTCTGGATACCTAGTCAGATGCTGTGATCTAGACAGTATTTGCTGACCTTCTCCTGACCCATAGCACCTTGTCCTGGCAGCAAAAGATTAACAGAAGAGAGATAAAGGACAGTTAACCTCTATTAATAATATTTAGTCTTGGTGGCTCCATTTCGCAGATGGCTATAAAGGGCACACTGTACAAGTCTTTAGAAAAAGGAAAATTATATTCTTATTGTCAGAACCAACAGAAGGCTTAGAATACTGCCTTGAAAATAAGATAGCAGTATAAATTGTCCAAATTGGGGCACACTTGAGAGTGAAAAGGGGTGTTCTAAATAATTACATTGGGACAATGGGCATCATTGGGCAAATAGGAACAGGTGCAGGGTCACTTCTCTTGGCATACCAGCATCTGGAGGGATCTGTCCAGGTTTTATCTATGGATGGTACTCGTACCATCCTAACAAATCTCTGTTGTGGGACCTTGACTTTGGGTCCAACTGCAGGCAATCTGGACCTAAGGTTTCAGATTGTTCCACTGCACCTCTACCCATAGACCCTTCTGTGAGCACAGCCATCCTCATGAGTTTTCCAAGTGTGCCTGCTTTCCAATTCCAGCATGTCCACGGCTCTGCACCCTGCCACTGAGGGCCAGCCTTATCTATTCTCACCCCAATCCAGGTTCCTGCAACTCGAACACAAGAGGGCTCCAGGGCCCTGCTTCTGTGAACCGAGAGGTTGGATATGACCAGGTGCACCTTCCTTCAGGCCCGTTAGTCCCTTGCTGTAACTCACAAGGGTTCCTTTGACCCTAAGGGGTCATCTAAGCAAAGTTTCTGCCCTCTGGTGAACTTGCCTTAGCCCTCAGCAACATGAGACCTTAGGAACATTCATACAAGCACAATAAGAAACTGTGGAGACAATATACTTCTTTAGACGGGCCCAGGGGCAGAGGAGCAATGGAAATTCACTGCCAAATTTTGAGGAAGGTAGGATGCAATTACTTAGTAAAGAAAGTGCCTGGCTGATAACTAGAGCAGTGCATGCTAGAATGCGTCCCTTTATAGGAAAAAATGATGTCAGTTAGGTGCAATTACAGCAGTCCTAATTTAGATAAGCCTCTTATATATTAATTGCCATCCCTACTTGAAGTCACAGGATTTTTGAGCACCTTTTTTTACTAACTAAACTACAGGTTTCTTTGCAGTCCTACCTTATTGCTGCAGACTCTGCTGCCACTGGGGAACCTGCCCCATTTCTCCACCTAGTGCTGGTGCCTAATGGCAAACCAGAAGGGAAGGAGAGGGAGAGAAAGTGTGGAAGAAAGATGAAGCCCTAACTGGCTGGCCACTCTCCATCTGGTTTCCTGGCCCAAATACCAATCTCCTAAACCAACGGGGGAGGCCAGAAGAGGAGGAGAGAAAGGAGGTTAAGAATGTGAAATGGAGAAGCAAAGGAGTGTGTATATGGGGTACCAGGTTATTTCAAAGAGGCTACGTGAACTTTCCTCCAGATATTACAGAGGAGGGTTCTCATTCTGGATGGGGACTCGATTAGACATGTTTCCTATGAGCCTATGATTTTCTTACCTGTCTTTGCAGGGGTCTGGCCACCTCTCCCCTATCTGCTCTACTGGGTTGTCTAAGGTACATCCTCCTGGCCACAGTCTTTGGAACAAAGTTGTGCTAGTGCAGTGTGTGTGTGTGTGTGTGTGTGTGTGTGTGTGTGTGATGTGGAAGGGGATGTGCGGTGAGGGATGTGGGAGGAAAGACAAACCATGCCTTGCCACAGTTCCTGCATCTTTCTTTTCCTGCCTCATTACCTCCTTCCCTGGACCTTACCTACTCCCTTCACTCTACATGGGTCCCACATGGCTCCTGCCTCACTACTCATGCCTTTTCCCTGGGGCGGCCATCTCCACTAGAGAGGCCTGAAGAGAAGCTGTGATCTGTTCTTGATTAGCCGGTTTCTCTTTTCACACAGAAACCATGTTATCCATGGTGGTAAAGAGAGAATACACTAATTTCAGTATTATTAGTCATTCCATATGTAATTCAGATAGAGTATGTGTTAAGTTGGGTTTCATGGAGTAGTAACTACTATTGCTAGCTCAGGGAATGGATTTACAAGCCTGGGTTTGAATTATGGCTCCTTGGGTAGGGCACCTAATCTCTCTGTGCTCAGTTTTCTCAAGTATAAAATAGGGGATAATAACCTCGTAGGGTTGCGCTGAGGATTAAAAGAGCTAATTGGTGGATGGCACTTCACATAGTGCTTGGTACATTGTAAGCGCTCACTTTGTGTCTGGTATTATTATTACTTTAAGGGACTAATATCTAAAAGAATTTCCTAAAACAAGTAGTGACTACACATTTCTAGGCCCATCTCCCTGCTATGTACATCATACTTCATTCACATAAAACCAATTGCTATTCTCTCATTTACTCAAATACCTATTATATGCCAGGCACTGTTCCAGGCACTGGGCGTACATCTGTGAGTAGAACAGACAGAGGTCCTTGCCCACAAGGAGCTCACATTCAGCACATTCATGCCCTTCCTGCCTCTGCCTGTGCGTGTGTGGCCTGAAATGATCACTCATCCTTCCTTTTCTGGGAAATTCTTACTTGTGAAATATCACATTGTTTGCAAAGATGTCTCTAACTATTGTCATCATGCAAGACCAGGGATCTTTCCTATAAACACTATGCATATTGCTATTATGAAGTCATTATAACGAATTACCATTAAAAATTGCAGTGCTGACTATCTACCTTAGCCTGTAAAACCACTCGTGAGAACAGAGTGCATGGTATTCATCTTTGTAACCTTGGCAATGGCTGGGCCCACAGCAGGCATTCAAATGTTGTTGACTGACACTATCTATTATAATTTATATGTTTTTCTCTCTTGTGCATCTCAGTATCAAAGGACTGGACTGTATCTCTGTAGCCCTTTTGTCCAACACAATGGAGCTCAATAAATATTTGTTAAGTGAAGGAATAAATTAACAAATGCATTTTTATAATATGGAAAAACTTACAATCAGAGTGACTGGGGAAGACCAGTCAGTATTAGAGAAAAGACTCAAAAATATTTTCCAAGAAGTTGAACTTTCAATTTCAAGTATATACAGTTAATTTGAACCAAACTGATAACCCGTTTCTAAACCCGATTGTCATTAATGAATAAATAGGATTCATCTGTGATTAGCAAGACCAACTGCATATAAACACTGGATTTTCAAAGGTCTATGTTTACAGACGTAGATCAGTTCTCCTGATCAGGCTAAACAAGCAAGTCCCAAGCAGGTTCCCCAAACACACATCGTAACAATCTGGAAGCTGCGTGTACTGGAGCTGCCCACTGGCATCTGTTCTAGTAGCACCATCTATAGTGGATGAGCTTATCTGTCGTTTTTAAGAAAAATGAACAGAGGGAGTTGAGAGCCACTAGGTTAAACATTTTTCTGCCACAGATTCTTCTTCCAAGGTCAGGTCAAAATGCATTTCAGTTCTAAATGAATGGAAGTTTACTGAGTTTATAAAGACAAAGTGAATAGAGATGTGGGAGCTCTTTCCATGACTTTTATGACTCTGTTTCACAAAAGCCATGGAAAGAAGCAAAGGGAGATAGAGGCAGCTGGTCACTAATATTTACTAAGGACCTATTGTGAGTCTGGTGGTGTTTGGCATGCCAGAGATAGAGCAGTGTAGAAGACAGCCAGTGCCCTACCATCTTGGGAGTCTATGCACTTAGTGGAGGTGGGAGGCAAACAACTTACAAAACAAATATGTAAATGAGGTCAGTTCAGGTACTGATAAATGTAATGAAGAAGATACAGTAAGGTTAATGAAAGAGATTAGTGGAGGTGGGTGGGGGGCTGATTGATAAGGGGGCTGCATTAGGCAGGGCAATGAAGGGAGGATTCATTGAGAAGGTGGTTGAGTTGAGATCTGAATGATGGATGAGAAGAAGGAAGCTGAATGTGGTTCTGGGGAATGATGTTCCAAGTAGAAGAAACATCAAGTGCAATGTCTCTGAGGCCAGGAACAAGCCTGGTGTGTCTGAGGGACAGAAAGGAGGCCTGAGAGGTTGGAGAGATTTAAATGCGAAGTGAAATGGAGGAAAGATGAGTTCAGAAGGGCAGGCAGGCTAGATCAGGGTTGCTCCTGCAGGCCATCGTAGGGAGCCTGGATTTTATTTTGGTTGCAATAGGAAGCTATGGAGGACTTTAAACAGAGGAGTGTCACGTAAGGTCATTCTGGCTACTGTGAGTACAAGGGGCTAAAGGGGATGTATGGGGGCAGAAAGACCAGGTAGAAGGCTGTCTCATGGACCACGGGAGGAAGAGGGTGGCTTAGACTAGGGCATAGGTAGTGGAGCTGGCAAGAAGTGGCTGATGTGGGTTAGATTCTGAGGCAGAGTGGACAGGCTCTTGCTGATGGATTGAGTGTGTGGGGTAAGAGGAATTGTGGCAGAGCAGTGACCTTGACCCCCATGGTCCTTACCAAAGACTTTGAGGTGAATGGACGCGTCCTGCTCTCCAGCCTTGTTCTCGGCGATGCAGACGTACTCAGCCTCGTCATTCTTATCCACCTTCTTGATGGTCAGCTCCGAACTGTCATCGCTAAAGAGGTACTTCTCTTCTTCCTCATTCTCTATCTGTTCTCCATCCCTAAAGGGTGCGGAAATGAAAAGTACCATGATTTCAACTACAGAGGTAAGATGTTTATTTTTAATTAGTTTCCATAAAATGCAGCCCATAGGATAGACTCGGTCTCCACAGAAAGTTAAGATGCCAAATATACGTCCACATATAGCTTTGATTCCTTCACCTAAACCTCTGATTCTATCAAAGGGCAGTAAACTGCACCTGCAAACCCTCCACAGAGGGCCTCCAAGGCTGTGCCCTCTGCCACACTCTGAAAAGGAAGGAATCTGATGCACAAGGCAGGAAAACCATACAGAACGGTCCATTCTACATCTAGAGTTGATATATTCCCAAGCAGTCCATTCCCATTCCATTGAAACATCAACACATAGTAGGCCCTATGCTGTCCCCTTCTCAGCTAATCTCTGATAACAGGCACAAGCCAGTGTCTTACTTTGTCCAGCTCATGGTGGGCTCTGGGAAGCCTTCAGCATCGCACACCAGGGTGACAGACTGACCGAGGTTGGCGGTGGCATTCACTATGCTCTGCCTGGCCTGTACGGCAGGTGGCACTGAAGGGAAGAAGAACTGTTAGGGTGGTTGTGAAAACTTGGAAGAACCCAGTGGTTTGGAGAAGAGGCACTTCCAGAGTGTCCCAGGGTCAGATGGTCCACAGCCTGGTGGTCAAGAGTCCTCAGTAGCAGAGTTAGCATAAGGCAGGGGTTTCCAACCCCTGGTACCGTCTGTGGCCTGTTAGGAACCGGGCCACACAGCAGGAGCTGAGCAGTGGGTGGGCAGGTGGGTGAGCGAAGCTTCATCTGTATTTGCAGCCACTTCCCAGTGCTAGCATCACTGCCTCAGCTCCATCTCAGATCATCAGGCAGTAGATTCTCATGGGAGCACCAGTCCCTGGTGCCAAAAAGGTTGAGGACTGCTGGTAAGGGATCTGAATTCAGACATGTACTGAATACTGTAAACTAAATAAGTAATTCACTCACCAACATACATTAGTATTCTATAACTGTATAATAATATTGTTTTTCAACAATATAGCTTTAGAAGCTATATTAATATGTTTCATTCATTTATTCATTTCATTCAAAATGGCATGCAATTTATAGTAGCTCTTTATCATTACATATTTTCTCAATCGATGCGTACTCAACTTACAACTACCATAGTTGGTGGAACTTGACATTCAAAAGGAGGCTCTGGATACTGGAAAAAGTTGAAAACTCCTGCTCCCAGTGGTTAAATGGTTAACACCAATTTGAAATGCACCAGCTCATCAGACCCCCAAAGAGTGACATTTTTCTGGGATTGTTATAAACAATCCTTTGCATAAAACTGTTTTACCAAAGGAATGAGAGGGGGAGAGTTTGGCAAAAAATATGTATCAATGGCCAAAATAATTCAACCGTGATTTACTTATTTTCTGAGTACTGACATTATAATTTCCTGTAAACATCTTGTAAATGTCAGATCGATTCCATGGGCGTGCTTATTTGACATTGCAAATTAAGATTAATAAGCCCATGGACCATGATTCTGACTATTCTAAGGCCTGAATTGATTATAGTATTTTCTTTGAACACTGAACCAGGGGACTAACTTCACAATTACAGTACCATCAAGGACAATGAAGGATGAATAAGAATTTATTAGTAAGTATGGGGAAAGTTTCTAGTGGTGCAAGACAATGAAGGACATTCAAGAACTACGCTAAAAGTCCCCTTAGTTGAGGGAGAACCAAAAGGCAAGTATATTAACAACAACAATGACAAGAGGAAAAAATCAAGCCAGAGGCTATAGGGCTTAGGGGGAGATTCAGCTGAGGTAGATGAGTGAGTCAGGACAGGGCATATTTTATAGACCAAAGAAAAAGTTAAAGAAAATGATTCTGGGGACCAAGGTTGTAGCAATGGAGAGGGCAGGAAGAACGGATTTCCTCACCATTCACGATGACCTGAATGTCCTTGAAGTTGATCTCCCCCCGCGCTAGGATCCTGCCCTCACAGCGGTAAGTGCCCTCATCCGTTTTCTTGATGCTCCGGATCTGCAGGTAGTTGTTGGACAGGACTATGAATCGGACTAGAAGAGACAAGAAGTAGGTTCACCAAAGATCGGTTAGAAAGTTCATATCTGTAGGCAGGTCACTGAGCCTTTCCCTCTTCCAGCTTCAGTCTTTTGGGGCTGGGCTTTAAGCTAAAATAAGAGAAGGTGTCCCTGGCTCTGACATAAAGCCAAGAACAAAAATCTGTTGGAAATTTTGTCTTCTTCTTTGGAGTGGAAGTCAAATGCCCGAGTATACAATCTACAAACATACACCCATTCAGGACCTGGCAATTGCATGTGGTTCTGGGACACTGGAGTCTGAGTCAGGATTAGAATGGCTCAGAGGCTGGCACAGGTGGAAACCCTAGGGGACTTGATGGCCCAGAGGAAAAGGCAGCTGCCAGATCTCACCATCTTTTTTCAGGATGACGTCTCGACCTTTGTGTTTCCAGATGATGGTCGGGGGGAGGGAGCTGACCACGTCACACACGATGACAGCATCTTCCCCCTCCCTGAACTCCTGCGGGGTTGGTGCATTCTTGAACATGAGCTTCTCTGGAAAAGGAGCAAGAGAAGAGTAAGGGAAAACAGTGGGTTCTCTCACAAAGATCCCTTTTCACTGGAGCCATACTGCCTGGATTCGAGTTGCAGGCAACTCTCTCTCGATCCATATATACAGCGGGACACGAGAGGGTCCCACCTAGTACTCCGCCAAAGATGCCAGGTGGAGCAGCTGGCACAAGTAGCAGAATATGTCATCAAAGTTCGGCGCTCAACGTCTATTCACCGAGTGCTAAATTTATCACATTTTTGTGCAGAAAAGGGTCTATGGCGGGAAAGGAGTGTCTTCACCACTGGTCCCTTGCCATGAGGGATGGTACCATTGAGATGCAGTGCGCAGGTAGAATGCATTAGTAGAACACCTATTCCAATGACTATTAGGAGTCATTAATCCTTTCTGTCTCCCACTCTGTCTGGCACCCCAACCCCAGCTTTCCTACAGCAGAGAATTTTGAAGAACAGAACAGAAGAAAAGTAGGCTTAATGGCAATAAATACTTGGCAATCAATACCCTTCCATTAGCTGCCACCCGCCATTACACCGGCCAACGGGACAGATACATGATAACAAGGTAATAAGATGCCACCTTGAGACTAGGTTTCAGTGGCAATGGGAACTGCCTGCTCTGAGTGTTGCAGAGTGTTCAAATAATAACCCCACACACCTCACTGAGCCTTTGGACTCCATTACCAGCAGGGGAGAGTGAAATGAGAGGGGAAAATCTGAATCGTACCAGTCAGTCAACACTTGGGGAAACAGTAAGGAACCCATAATAGACCTCTGAGAACTGTGTAATTTGAATTTAGAGAATGGAGGCCAGTGGGAGGTACCTGTGACCAGTGCAAACCTGGGTTGTGAGTTCTGAGTTGGCCAAGGATCATTTAAGAGCATGTTGGAGCACTTAGCTCAATTCAGAAAAGACTTAGGGTGAGGAAAGTAGCCCTCAGCTGCTCCCTAACCGCCATCCCACTCTGTCTGCTGCCAAAGTGTTTTCCTGGCTAAAGAAGAGGACAGGGATATACAAAGAGAAAGAGGAGGGTCTTACGGAAGATCTTCACGTTGACCGTGGCCTCGGACTCACTGCCATCCTCGCCAGTGACCACACACTTGTAAATGCCGGCATCATCAATGTTGGCATTGTAGATGGTGAGGGTGGAAGAAGAGTCATCATTCCATACCACTGAGATCCGCTGCTGGTTCGGGGTGAGCTTTTCTCCGTTGGGGGAGAACCAGGAGATGTCTTTATCTTTGGCATCTCCTGCCACTAAAGAGAAAGAGATTCTTCTCAAACCACAGAAGTTGAAAAGACAAAGTCCCCTCCAGGGTGACAGTGGCTACCTAGTAAGAGCTACCGAACAAGAGATCACGTCTTGATGATTAGGGAGGGGTGACCATTTACACAGAACACCACTCTGGCTTCTGTGTTTTATTGTTAAATACATAACACCACCTATGGGAAAAGCTCAAAAACCACTTGTGCCAGGGTTTCTCATAGTGGTCCTATCCTTAGGAAGGCTAAGAGGGAAGAGGAGAGATATTTGTTGAGGACCTACTGTGTGCCAATCACTCAGCTAGGAGCTTATAGCCTAGCCTCACAGAATAGGGATGGGGAGACAAAGGGAATTAGTATGTCTAGGATCTGAGCTCAAGGGCTTAGCTGATTTGAGTCAACTGATCGGCTTGTTTTTCGAGGGCTTAGATTATGGTCTCCTGAGCGGGAGACCCCAGCAGGTCTAGGCGGGCAGACTCCAACCACTCTTATTCTAGCAACTGCCTGCACAAACTGGCCTGACTGTCATTTCAGCACCTCCTGCCTCAGACAGAGACTTTCATCTCCTTAAATGCTGTGAAGAAGATAACCAGAATCACCCATGCGTCCTTTCCCCAAGCACCTTGGAGGGATAGATGCTGCTGCTTAGCTGTCCCGGACACTGAGCTGGAAAAAAAGCTCTTGGATCTGGTGATGTGGCTTCTCCCTGCCTATCTGCACGATGCTCTTCCCAGGCCCACACCACCCAGCCCTGCACAGATGCTTAGTATGGAAATGAAGCAGTCTTCCTTTCAGGGCCCATCATGTTTTCAATAAATATCGCTATTTGCAAGATGTGCTGTGGGCTCCACGGCTGCATCCCCAGATCATTTAAATTGCTGTAATGAAGGCAAAGCTGGAGTGAACACATCCGGCGGCCACAAGCCCCCTCATCCAATGCAAATCATGATAGCATTTCGAGGCCCCCCTTGCTAAGAGCTGCTCGCTAAATGTCATAGTTTACACCTAGCTCAGCTCTTTCCTGGTTCTTCCATGTTCAAAATCCCAATTATGTCACATGCAGAGAATCCGAAGCCTAATTTGAAGCCTTTTCTTCCACCGAACATAATTATCTGAGCTGTAGAAATGAGGCATAATTTCTAAAGAAAAAACAAATATACCAGGTCTGACAAATCCCAGAGATCTCTGGAGGGGGCAATGGGATGGAATATTGGTATTTGCAATAGACCTGGAAACCTAGCACACATGTCCTCACAGCAAAAGAGACACCAGTACTCAATTTTCTTTGAGGCAAGTTTCAGACCTTGGGTTTTCCTGTTCTGGGGGATTCTGAGAAAAACCTTTCATTGACGCACCGAAGATCATTTCTGTTCTCTGTTGTCATTTACAGAACTCTGGATGTGTACAGAGTAGGGGGTCGGGGGTGATTCACTGTTGTGGGAGTTGTGCTGACTTTTCTAAGGAAACCCCTAGAGCTCCTCCACCGCCACGCAGAAGTCCAGATGACTCATTTCATTGTGTTGGGGCAGCCTTTTCAGCGGAGAGGAAAGAGGGCCTGAGAGCTTCCCTGGCTCTCCGGTGACACTACTGACCCTGCAGCAAAGCAACACCAAGAATGCTAGGTGCAGCGTGCTCAGCCCGGCACACAGCCCACTGGCTACTGCTCCGCTGGGAGGGTGTCTTGAAACGCAGTGGGGCCTGGGACACTTGCCTTGGCATAAGAAGAACTTGGACTCTCCAACGCTGATTTCCCCTTGACTGGGAACAATATCCACCTGCAGAGAAACTGAAAAAGACAAAGTCCAGTTTAAACACACATTCGAATTTTTGAGAATGAAACCCAGAGCTTTCATTCAAAATTGAGATCTACTTGTTATGATCGGTTTTAAGAACTTGTCACCAAAAAAGGATCCATGGGTTGTCAGGCCGAAGCTGGAGTGGACACAGTCCAGACCATTCCCTGTGAAACCGCTATCCTCTATCGGATAGTACAAGGTCCCCTGAGAAACTTGGAGTGACCTCTGAACTAAATGTTTCTGACTCCTTGAGAGGCTATGGTCCTGTTCCAATCAGCAGCACTTCTAAGATTCATGGAAATAGCAGCCCGACCGGTTACTTTTGGAAATCACCCTGAAGGTGCCCACAACTGTGTTAAGAGGAAAGCCTGCTGCTCCAAAACTCTGCCCAGGGGTCTCCTGCCATGCTACTGTGCTTAAAAACTATGGAGAAGGATTTAGTATGATCCAAATGGATTCTGAAGCAGGGGATACCAAATGCTCACCTTCCCTCACGACTATGGGACCAATACCCACCCCTCTTTCTAAGCATCATTACCCCAAACAGTCAGACATTCTTCTGAAATGCTACAGTCTGTACACTGTGGAATTCCCTGTGTCCCCTGGCTACCTGCACTGAATTTTTATTTGAATATCCACATGCTCTGTCATTCCACTACACCGATAAGACAAACTACATTGCACGGGATCTCACAGATTCCTGTATTCATTCAGTTCTTTGTTTATCTGCTCAGAAAATACAGTTTTAGGGTAGGAAAAAAAAATGCTTTTATTCATTTGGAGTCAACTTCTTCTGCTTCTCCTCCTCTTAGGTAAAGTAAATCTGAAAGCTAAAGGCTAACAGACGTTTGGTTCAATGCATGTAGCTTCGTAAAGCCGATATGAAGGAGGGGCCTGGAGGAAACGGTCTGGTAATAGAGACTCAGTGAGCCCTTCCTTAGAACAGCCATTTTCTCTTCATAGTAGAACAGAGGAATGCTGGTTGCCATGGTGACTGACTTGCAGGCAGAGCTGCTGCAGGTCTCTGTCTGCACTCATTTGATGAAGGGACCACAGTTGTACTCAGCAGAACGGAGAGATCAAAGAGGCAGTGCAGGGATGGGAAAGGGGGAGCATGGGAGCACCTCACCTATTGGGGGACACAGACTTCCTAACCATCCTACCAGCAGACAAAGCAGACCATGGAAAACCCCAGCAGAGGCTGCAGAGAGAAAGAGATGGCTTGGGGAAGATAGGAATTAAAACGAGAAAGAGCGAGGGTAGGCGGTACGAATCAGGCACAGGATAAAGGCTAAGAGAGGATATTGAACACTCCACAGTGAGAATAAGAGGCAGGGACTAGAGACCTCCAAACGCTGGTTTAGAAGAAATATTACAGCAATGGAGGGGCAGCTGGTCTCTCCCTCACTTGGTTAGCTGCTGATTACTCATTTGGGGCCCAGGACTGAATTCTTCCTAAGAGTAATGAGAAGTCTCCCTCTACTCTCCCTGCATTTTCCCCATAGCACACAGAGCTGCAATGGAATACAATGCTGGACGAGGGCCACTGCATCCACTGCACAAGTGTGACTGGCTGTGGCTGCCTCTCCCATCACTCCCCTCTCGATGGAGTCAGGTGCCACTCAATTCTACACTGAGGGAGTTGGAAGCAGTCTCAGCCATCAGCATGTCTCACCTCTTCACTTTCTGGATGAAATATGCAAGGTCAAGTGACTTCTCTAAGGTCACTTCTAGTTAGGGCCAGGGTAGCCTCAGAGTTCTGGCCACCTGGCTTCCAGGTCAATGTTCTTTCCATCATGAATGCCGCCTCTGCGAGTAGAGGATAAAATATTTCCATTCGGTTTAACAAACAATCTGGCCAACCAGAGGTGCAACCTGGTCCTTAGACTCACCATCGCCTAACGGCCCAGAGTGAGCCCTCAGCTGATAGGGCCCATAGTATTTTGAGGAGCATGGGGCCTTACAGAGAGGGCTACTGCCCAGTACCATTCATCTTAAGGCCAACGAGGACCTTTTCAATCCCTTTCTGTGGCTCACATTCCAGGGAACAAGAGGCCTATAAAGCCCAGAAGCTGTGCCTAGGCCATTCGTCACCTTTCTGGAGCTTACTAGGGCATTCTTTGGAGAATTAGAAGCATATTTCTGCTTGCAAAGTTCACTGGCCCATATGCTGAACATTAGCAGCCAGTTTCAACATATGGATCCTGTTACTCTCACAGAGCCCTTACTGCTTTGAGAAGGATATTCATACTCCAAGTGAAAAAACAGCCTCGATTTTCTCAGCTCTTTTCAAACAGAACATGACTCTCAAGGGGCAGGAGAACACGGCAAGGCTGAAGAGTTTTCATACCCAAATGTGGCCAGTATCTGTCTCTGGGCCGTGGAGAGAAATGAGAAATGAGAATTTCAAAGGAATTCCCATCTAACCAGATCCCAAGCACACGTTTATCATCATAGACTTTTTTTTTTTTTAAAGAAGAGATATCCACTGGGACTCCTGACCTTTTGCACACATGGAAAAGATAGTGAGATTCCTCCTTCAAAACAGCAGAGTCAAAGCTGAGCCATAGGAACTCCAGACTCTGAAAATCAATGCTTGGATATTTTTCACTGTAGTACAATGGCTGATTATTTCCCCCCGAATGTTAAACCCTGAATTATTAGTTTTAATAAACAGTATGTGGAACTCCTGCTCCAAAGTCCAAATTCCTTCCCTCCACTTCTTGGTACCCTTTCCTTTCTTACTCTATTAGTCCTTTCATGGTTTCCAATAAAAATTCTTACCTCAACTTGCGCCTTTCTCCAGTTGCATATATAAGTGAAATTTCCTAACTCATATTGTTAAAGAAACTTATGAAAACATTTCTCCCAGAAAAAGGATCTCATCTGCTCTGCATAAAGACTCTGCATAAATACTGCATGTTATCTACTTCAAGTTAGATGCATCCAAAGATATATCTTATAAACATAGGTGTTTGGACCTGGGTGGGATCCAGGGGCGGGGCCACGTGCCCGTCCATTCGGTGTTCTGTCCCTCAATAAGGACTCACGCTCCAAGGCCTCTTGCAGCCACTTTGCACTTTCTGGTTTACAGAAGACACTTTCTTATTTAAGCTGATGCTCACAATAATTCTTGAGATATAAAAAGGCAGACATTGCCTCTATTCTACAAAAGAGAAAATTAAAGCTCAGAGAAGTGAAATAACTTGCCCAGGGTAACTCAGCTAATAAGTAGTAAAGTCAAGATTAAAAGTCACTTAATTCTAAGACGTTAGCTCTTCCCCTACTCTCCATAACTACCGCTAACCCTGTTGGCCTCCCAAAGGGCTCATTATTACCTATCAGTTGCCATTTGCTCTCCTTCCAAATTATAAGCTAGAAAGTAGAGTATACAGACATCTTATAATCAAGTTTCTGCCATCATTTCTACTCTGATTAACAATAATGGGCCTTTTTGCTCACAGATAATCATAGCATTATCATCCCCATTTACAGGTGGGGAAGTGGAGGCTCTGAGCCAAAATTAACGGTAATGGAGAAGTCAAGATTCAAACCCAGGTTTAATGGAGACCAAAGACCCAGCCATTTTCCCCACACTATTTTATCCTTTGTGAACAGAAAAAAGGTTCTCTTGAGAATGGAATGATTCGCCATTCCTTGCCTCATTTAAAAAGTAAAATAACCCTGTGGGAGACTTATATGTTTTAAAATGTGTTTTCTGTTTAAATGTCTTTTGAAAAAATTGTTGCTATATTATGAAAGATATGCCAACTTGTTTATTAGCAAACAGCTTCAGGTGTAGTTTTGTAACTCCCAACTACCTAGCAGAAACAAGCTATAAAATCTTAGTTGCTAAAGAAAAGGGAATTAAAATGTCGGTTCATAAAAGATGCTATGGCACTTATCAGAATGGGTGGGAATCATCTGAAGGCAAAGCAACAGAGAAAAATTATTCTGATTTCAAAAAAGAGTTCATAGATTTCACCTGACTTAGCAACTTCTTGCAGAAGTTTAATTTAAGGGTATTCTTCTCAGATTCTAATGTGCTTGAGGAGGTAGAAACTGAGAGCAGACAGTGAACTTAGGTCTCTCTCATGCTAACTGACAATACTTTCTTGTTAAATAGTTATAAAGGCACTTGTTATTGAAGAAGGCAAAGAGAAGGTGTGCAGCAGGCACAGGGCCAATACAGGCACACCTACGGAAGGTGTCCTGGCCACCAATTTAAGAGATGAGTGAACAGCAGAGGAGTAATCCGATCAGTGACTATGCATCAGATGAAGGAATTTTCTAGAACCTATTTAATTAATAATGGCTAAGGATTTTTTAAAAAGGCATCAAAGTGTTGCCATACCTTTATTTTGTTAGCTATTGTTCTAGAAATGAGCCTTAAATATCACTATACTTAACTACTTTAATGGACAGTTGCTTTTTATTTTTCAAAGTATAACTGAATACGTGTCTCTTTCATTTGACACACCTGTGGGAAATCCAGATGTCTGAACCAGGAGCATAATAACTGAGACATCCCCACCTGCCTGAAATGGTTTGCTCTCATTATTAGCAAAGTACTCGAAATCAAGGGCAACTTCACTGCTAACGCAACAAACTCAATGAAAGTAAAACCAAAAATACCTTGGTAGTACCACAGAGTGGTTAGGGCCAAGGACTCTGGGCCAGACGGTGAGCTTGGATCTCAGCTCTATCCTTTCTTACCTGCGTAATCTTGGTTAAGTTATTTAACATTGTGGTGCTTCTGTTTTCTTATTTGTAAAATGGGGAAAAACAGAACCCTCTATCTTATAGGGCTGTTGGAAAGGTTAAATGAATTAATCTATGTAAAGCACTCGGAATAGGGTCTGGCACATCATAAACATTTTATACTTATTTGTATTATTATTCTTAATAAATCTGTATCAACAACCCTTCCCAAAGAAATCATTTGGTTATTAATTTTGAGGGAAGCAATGTTTCCTTCTGTTTAAAATAA